TTGTCACAAAAACGCGCACACACACACACACACACACACACACATTACTTGCGATATCAAGACTTAAATGAAGCGAGTTTATAATTAAAACAAGAACAAATATCTGAAAATGGGGTTAGAAAATTAAACTTGTTTTCCTTTTGAATTAAGTCTATTTTTCTGCCCCCATTTACATATTTATTTGTTTATTTGTATGTTTTAAGCATAAACTCACTTCATTTTGAGAAAAAAAATGAAATATTAATAAAGTCATTTTGCTTCTAAAGCAAATTCATCTTAATTTACAAATGTTTACTTCTAATGGAAAATAAGACAAAATATTAAGAAATAAAGTTGTTGTTGTTGTTTTGCAGTCCAGTCAATGGATTCATTTAGACGATGTAGAAAAGCAATGTAATTCACATAAAATGAACAGTAAAAATACAGAATACAGAAATAATTGTTTAAACTTACTTTAGTACATTAAACATTTTTATAACAATGACCTTCTTGACTATAAATGTATTTATACACTTTACAACATTTCAACACATTTCACAGTCTGTCTCCACAGATGTGTATTAACTTCATTTCATATCAGTCCAGGATAAGTCATAGTGTTGCACGTCTTACTAGGCTGCTTGCAAACGCTGAAAATAAAATCTGTAAGACAAGATCAAATTAAGAGTGGAAGAGTGTGTTGTGCTGACTATAGATAATGGCAATAGCTAATAAAACTGCTGACCTGCCATTTCTAAACATTAGACCTAAAATTATAACATTAATCCAATTACTCACCTTCCACCCAAAAGAGTCTGTCATGCAGGTTTTAATATGAACTCCATCACCATCTACTGACGGAAATGGGAAATGCATCCCTAGTAAGCTGACTACTTCTTTGAAGCAATAAATAAAACATCTTTGTGTCTATCTGTCTGTCTGTCAGTGTGTGCATCGGGATCTGGCAGCAAGAAACGTCTTGATCTGTGAGGGCAAACTGGCCAAGATCTGTGACTTTGGACTGGCCAGAGACATCATGCATGACAACAACTACATCTCCAAAGGCAGCGTATGTATATTCGGCGGTTTCTACTGTCCCTACGACTGTAATAAAGCACAATAAAACCAACACATTCAATCAAACACACAAACTCTGATGCTGACTGAAGAGACTGTGTGTTTGTCCGCAGACGTTTCTTCCTCTGAAGTGGATGGCGCCGGAGAGCATCTTTCATAACCTGTACACCACGCTGAGTGACGTCTGGTCCTACGGCATCTTACTGTGGGAGATTTTCACTCTGGGTCAGTCCGTTCGCTTATTATTATTACTCCACACTGACTATGCATTCATGCTATTGTGCAAATAAACATTAAATGTTAATCTCCCAAATTAACAATAATGTATGTATTACCTGAAATGTGTGTTCCGAGCAAGCATGGGTTTGATTTCCAGGGAATGCATGCATTGAAAACATGTATAGATTGTCACTTTGGATAAGACATCTGCTAAATGCATTAATCAGGGTTTTTTATTTTATTTTATTAAAACTAAAACTAAAACCATAAAGCCTTTTTGTTACTTAAAATGAAATAGAAATTTTTTTTCTCATTTAATCAACATTTCTCATTTTCATTTAGTTTAAATTGAAGTACTAAAATAACTCAAATTAATAAATAAAAATTAGTAAAAAACATAGAGATATATCGAAAAATAATAATAAAAATGACTAAAACAACAAAATTAACTAAAATATTTCACTAAAATTTTACTTAAATATATAGAAAGTATGAAATCTTATTTAAAAAAAAAAAAAGCTTTTTTAATGAAAAAGAAAATAGTATATGAATGATACTTAAATAACACTGGTTTAAATGTAATGTAATGTAAATTACTTTTACTTTTGGGCAGCCGGAGTTGTATAAATGTAATATTTTAGTTTAACTTGACTAAAATTGAAATAAAAATATTACAAAAACACACAAAAAAGCGCAATTACTTGAACTTTAAAATTAAAATATAAAGATAAATAAAAACAAATTAATAAAAACTATCATAGTATCTCAGTTACACTAAAATAACTCTATTAATCTTTGTTAACATTATTAAAATTGTTAATTGTTAGTTCATGTTAGCTCTGGAGCATTAAATAATATAACATACAACTTTTGATATTAACAGTGTAATAAAAGTTGAGATGAACATTAAGATTAAAATATTCTTTAGAAGTATTTTTTATTGTTAGTTCATATTAATGCAATTAACTTAAAGGCACAATATGTAAGATTTGTTTATTAAAATATCCAAAAACCACTAGAACAGTGTTATCGTTCAGCGGCCTCGTTTCGCTTCGACGGCTTTCAGCCTCACCCTGCTTCATTCTACTACGTTAACAAATCATTAGCTCATCCATGAACATGATTTCTGCCCGAGCCCCGTCGGATTGCATCGGCTGTGGGGATGAAGACCACAACTCCCATGATTCCACACTCAGTCACGCGTCATCAAACTGTCTATTTGTTTATTTTGAATACATGCCCTCTAGCGGCGAAAATTACATATTGTGCCTTTAACAACTGAAACCTTATTGTAAAGTGATATTAATTCTTTCATAAGTAATGTTTGTTTTTTGTCTTTAAGAGAATTTCATTTTAAACACAAGCGCTCACCGTTGAATCAGTAAAAAAACTAAAGCATTGTTCTTTTTCTCCCAGATTTTCAGCTTTTTTGAAACGTGAAAATCTGTGTTTATTGGTGATTTTGTGTGTGATTTTGCAGGAGGAACCCCGTATCCAGACCTGCCCATGAACGAGTTGTTTTACAGCGCTCTGAAGAGAGGATACCGCATGGCCAAACCCTCGTACGCCTCCGACGACATGTATGTCCACGGCGTTTACTACTGACCTGAACGAAAGTGACTTAAACATACAGGCTGCATGCTTATTATTGCACATATGCTTGAGTTATATATTCATATAGTAAATCACTCTGAAGATTGTGCACTGTAACAACAGGCAGGTTTGTTTTAATAAAGAGATTCTGGAAAGTTCTTGTGGCTTTTGTGAATGAATGAGGGCGGATTTGGAGTAAAATGCTGGTGGTTTTGTTCCTCTGCAGTTATGAGGTCATGAGGAAATGTTGGGATGAGAAGTTCGAGAAGCGTCCCGAGTTCTCCTTTCTGGTGCACACCATGGGGAACATGCTGTCAGACAGATATAAAAAGGTTTCCTTTATGTTCCTTGTTTTATTTCCATGGCTACTGCATAGATTTGCAAAGAAATTCTAAATTGAATATTCATTTTCTCAGTAATTCTGTGGTGACGATTTTTGCTCAAATACTTTCTGAAACTACACGAAGGCACATGCACAAAAACGCAGAATTGAAATTGAAATGAATGAGTTATCCATTCAAATGGCAGTGATTTTTAACATACAAATGAGAAACATACTGACACATTTTAAACAAATCTTCTGTTATGATATGAATAAACTAAAGTTTGGAAAGAAATGTGTAATTGCAATATTCCTCAACTTCTTTTCTAAACATCATTCTTTGGTGACAACCAGGATTATTGTGAAGTAAAGCTATTTACAAAAATGTTACTTGAAATAAAACTAACATTGAATGAAATATTAAAAAACGAATATTTCAGTTGGCTGACACAAATATTTTTAATTTAGTTTAACTTAAAGTACTAAAATAACTAAAACTGAATAAACTAAAATTAATAAATAAAAAAATGATTAAACTGTTTGGACATTAGAAAAAGCTGATAAAAATGACAAAAACACACAACAAAATTACTAAAACTTTAACTAAATTTAAGACAGAAAATATAGAAATAAAATCTTTAAAATATTAACAAAAAATATAATAGTACATCAATGATACAAACATAGGCACCAATTCCGAAATAGCAGAGCACCCACAAAAAAACACGAAATATTCTCCATTAACTTTAACCAATCAAAAAATTCAAGAAGAGTCCTCACATTGTGTCCCTGAGTCATAATACACACAAATGCTCTCTGTTTTATTTGAAAGACGCACAAAACGCGCACAAAAACACCTTTTATAAACCAATTTCAAAATTGTATTGAATGTGTAATTTGTCAAACGTGTCATAAGCGTCAATTTTTTGAAATTGAGATTTATACATCATCTGAAAGCTGAATAATTAAGCTTTCCATTGATGTATGGTTTGTTAGGATATAGGACAATATTTGACCGAGATACAACTATTTGAATATCTGGAATCTGAGGGTGCAAAAAAATCGCTTTTAAAGTTGTCCAAATGAAGTTCTTAGCAATGCATATTACTAATCAAAAATTAAGGTTTG